AAAATCACCACACTGTACAATTTAAATATGTACAATTTTATTTGTCAGTTATATTTCAATTGTGTTAGGGGAAAAATACTAAAAAAGAAAATGAGTGAATCAATGAATGAACGAACGAATGAACATCAAGGAGACCCTGAACTTCTCTGGCCTGGCAGACTCCCGTGTCTATGTGGTCTGCCTGGACGAGCAAACTTCAAATAGTTTCCTGTGAGAAGCAACAGAGAGAAGAGGAAGCTAGATCCTCTCCCTTGAATCCTTATCTAAGATCCATTACAAGTAAGAAGTTGTTCCATGGAGAAAGCAAGTTTTAACATAAGGCTGGAAACTGGGAGGTAAGAGCAAATTAGAGCAACCCAAGGAAGGATGGGGGATTTATTTTTATTTTTTTTTAAAGATTTATTTATTTGAGAGAGAGAGAGCACAAGCAGGAGGGGCAGAGGAAGAGAGAATCTCAAGCCAACTGCATGGTGAGCACAGAGCCAGATGCAGGGCTTGATCTCATGACACTGAGATCACGACCTGAGCCAAACCAAGAGTTAGACACTTAGCCAACTGCACCACCCAGGTTCCCCAGGATGGGGGATTTATAAGAGTGAAGATGGAGAAGCCTGTCCATGGAAAACAGATGTACAGAGACAAAGATCCCATCACTAAAGACAGTGTTTAGAGACTATGTTTAAAAGGGATACTCAAGAACCACGATAAAAACAACAACAAATACACTCATTCAGGGAAAATGGTATTTCTTGGGAGGTAAAAATTTCATGGGCCTTTGGAATCTGACAGCCTTGGATTTGAAATCAACACTTGGTCACCTAAAATCCCAGAGCAGTAATTTAAGCTCTCTAAATCCTAGTTATGCTGAGGATAATAATCCCTGCCTCCCAATTGGGAGTAAATATTACATGTAAAGTGATTGGCACACAGATGGACACACAGGACATAATCCCACAGTGTATTCCTCACGACACTCACACCCACGGCATGGGAATGTCCACTATCCTGAGTATGGCTGCCCCTCCCCAGCAGCCCTGACTTCACCCACGTCCACAGCCCTTTACCTCCACTTGAGTCTCCCAGTCTAGAGACTTGTCTATAAAGACATCAGGGAAATCAGGCCACACCTGTGGAGACAAAACTATTCAAAAGCAATGCACTAGATAATTTATCTTATATAGTACTTCCTAAGAAACTATAAACCGTAGTCGTAGGTGGTAATACTTCGATTTTGATCTAGAAAAGTGGGTTCCACAATGCTCACACATACATACATACCCTAAAAATTCCTTAACTGTGTTGACAAATATTGATGGACAAGATGAGAACCTCTGATCTCCGAACCCAAATGGAAAAGGCCCCAAAACAACATGCACAAACACACTAATAGTCACCCACCCCAGGCTGGGGATTAGTGGATCACCATTCTGGTCATACCTTTCCCCAGACAATGTCTCCACCATTTGGCGTCTTGATGAAGACATCATCCTCCACACCCCTAGTGAATGCAGGATAGGGCTGTGTCTCGTTACCAGAAATAGCTGGGTCCTGAAATCAAAGCACAGATCAGGTGAGAAGTACAAATCCAGAGAACAACTGGACACAGAAAAAAAAGAACTCTTTAAACAGCACCAGCTTCCACCTGAACCACAGTGCTTCTGTGAATCCTGGGAAATATACCTTTCTTACCAAACCTCACATTCTCTGCTTGTAACATGGAAGGAAACACAATAGAAAGCTTTCTCCACCAAAGCCAATTCACTGTCCTCAACAAACTCCACCAATTCACAGAGGGACTAACCAGAATGAGGATGACCCGCATCCCATCAGCCTTCATGCGATTAATCAGAGCTGGAAATCCCATGAACTTGGGGCTGAGGGTGAAGTCCAGCTGCCGCTCCATGTAGTCGATATCCGAGTACTGCACGTCCTGGAGGACCACAGAAGGAAAGTGAGTGGCTCCTGCTTGTAGAAGACCAGGTTCCAGGTGAGAACAAGCCTCCACGAACCAGTGGTGAATTTCAGAGGGCTTTCTTTTGACTTTTTCTAATCTTAGGTATCAGGTATTAGATTTTGGGAAATTTTCAAATTTTCAGTCATAAAATAGAAAATAAAAACTAAATCAGCAAAAATAGGATGATAATGCCTATCTGGAAAGGCTGTTGGGAGGATAAATGAAAAGAGCAGATGAGAAAGTGCTTTGTGAAAGGCCAGTAGGAGTGACTGTGGTTACCTTGCCCAAGAGGCTGCCCCTGGGATCAGTGGTTCACTTTCAGAGAAAAAATTATAATGTAAACTCCCAGCACTAATACAACTGGATGGATGGTAAATCTATCTTTTTTAAAAAAGCACCTGGGATTGCTTTAGAATATCCAGTCCTGGAGGTTATCAGATATAGCTTTCTTATTAAAAATGAAATATTACATGCCATGCTTACCGTTAATAGGAACAATTGTAAACAATAGAAAAATAAATAGAATAAAAATAAAATATGTAAGAAGTTCATGGGATCAATTCTCTGATTCTTGGGTCCCTCTTGCCATCCAGTGAAGGACAGAATTTGTTTCCATATTTATTTCACCAGGAAACTGGTACCCAAGATCCCTATCTTCAACCTTAGCTCAAAGCTGAGGGAACACTGTACCAGCAAAGTGTTGGAACTGAGGTTATATCTGCACCTATGGTGATCTGACTAAATTAGGGCATTTTCTTTTCAATTAAGCAAAACTACTGTTTGGGCAACCTTTTATTCTTAAGATAACAAAGATGTTTTTGACCAAATGTTTTAAAGTCGTGTGGTTATAGGAACCGCCCCCGTCCAAGTCAAGCTAATCCAAATACAGAGACAACTAGTGTAGGCCATGAGGTCCCAGGGCCAATCCACCACATATGGCGAACATACGTAAGGGATCTGGGCAGCCACCATCTCATCATACAAGCTGGCAATCTCAGAGTCGTTCTGGTATCCGTAGCGACACAGCTGAAACCCCAAGGACCAGTAAGGAACCATCACTGGCCGACCAATCAGCTAGAAAATAGACAGAAAATTTAAGTCCTTAAAAAGGAGATTCTGGATTGAAATTGTCAACAAATTAATAAGAACATCTTTCCAGTGTCCCAAGTTGGATAATTAACAGCTTCAAAAATGGAGAGAAACTGAGAGGATGCCGAACCACTGGGATACCTCAGAGAAAGCTTTCTGCTAGATCTTACCTCTTTGCCTAAGAATTTTGGAAAATTTGATTTTACTCTGATTCCTAGAGGCAGTCTAGCTTGCTGGTTCAGTATTCAGAATCTGGAGGCAAAAGGCCTGGCTTACCATACAGGCTCCAATCTTGCTGGCTATGCAGCCTTGTGCAGAAGTTAAAAAACCCTTGTTCATCAGTTCCTTCACTTGTACATCGGGGATACTAACAGTACTTGCTTCATTAGTGTTTTTTGTGAGGACTGAATGAGTTAATATATGTAAAATGATCAGTAACACGTAGTAAGTTATATACGTGTGTGTTGCTGCTGCCAAAGTAACTGTCGTGACCACTCTGACCACCATCACCACGAGCACCATCACTATTACAACATCACCACCACCTCCCCCACCTGCCCTACCTCCACTACCACCTCCATCACATCCACCACCACCTGTACCACCATCTCCATCATCTCCACCACAACCATCTCTACCACAACCACCTCCACCACCACCATCACCTCCACCATCACCTCTACCGTC